AAATCTCCACCACCGTTTGGCTAGTAAACAATCATTGATTTCCTTCAAATCCCAAGTGCTTTGATTTGGTAACCTCCTTCCATTTTACCAGATGGAGCTTCTTTTTGAGTTCTGAACCTCCCCACAAAAACCTAGCCTAAATTTTGTCCAGTAACTTTGATACACTTGTAGGCAATTTAAACAAAAAGAGGTAGTACACTGGTAAAGAAGATATCATTACTTTGATCAGTGTTAACCTACCTCCAAATGATAGTAATTTCCTTTTCCAAGAAGCCAGCCTAGACTTGAATTTATTAATTACTGTCAACCATGTGCTTTTCCTCTTTGGGCTGGCACCCAGTGGTAAACCAAGATACATGAAAGGTAACTTTTGGATCATACAATTCAATTTTCCTACAAACACATTTACATCAGCCTCTTATACACCTGCTCCACAAACTGTACTTTTATGAAAATTGATTTTCAATCCAGAAAACACTTCAAAACACCTCAAAATTCTGTTTACATTCAAAATATCATTCTCTTCTGCCTCACAAAACACAATTGTATCATCTGCAAATTGTAAATGAGTGACATTAACCTCCCTTAGGCCAATCACAACACCTTTGATTAACTCCAATGCTTTAGCTCTTTGAAATAATATATTCAAACCCTCAGCCACTATATTAAAAAGAAGGAGAGACAGCGGATCCCCTTGTTTGAGTCCTTTTTCTGGCAAAATTCATTAGTCAGAGAACCATTATCAAGAACTGAAACACTAGCTGATTGTATACACGCCTTCATCTACCTAATCCACTTATCTTGGAAGCCAAAGCTTGACATCATATCAAAGAGATACTCCCAATTTATGGTATCATATGCTTTTTCAAAATCCAGTTTCAAAAGTGCCCCCTTCTTTTTTTTGTTCTTCTTCCACCAATCCACTACTTCATTGGATACTAAAATCCCATCTAAAATGTTCCTCCCCCCAATGAAAGCGGCCTGAGATTCTCCAATTGTTTTAGGCAATGCCTTCTTAAGTCTAGAAGCTAGAACCTTAGACAGAATTTTGTACAAAGATCCAATAAGGCTAATTGGTCTATAATCTGAAACCCCACATGGATTCCCATACTTAGGTATCAGTGTGATGAAAGAACTATTAATACCTTTTGCTAAGCATCCATTATCATAGAATTCCTTGAAGCATTGCAAGATATCCTTCTTAAACACTTTCCAACACTTCTGAAAGTAAGACAAGTTGAAACCATCAGGTCCTAGTGCCTTATTTCCATCACTCTCTCTAACAGCTCTCCAAATCTCCTCATCTGAAAATGGAGTGACCAGCCTATTAGAATCATTATCTTGACCAATGGACTTGAAGACACCTTGGAGCTTAGGTCGAAATTTCCACTCTTCAGAGAACCTGCTTCTAAAGTGTTGAGTTACCTCATGCTTGACATTTTGTGGATCCTCATGAATCTCCCCATCCATTTTAATTAAATTCAGCAGACTTCTATTTTGCCTGCTTGTAGCTATGACATGAAAGAATCTTGTATTATTGTCTCCTTTTAAACTCCAATTAACACTAGACTTCTGCCTTCACAACCATTCTTCTCTCCTACTTAATGGCCATACTTCCTTTCGAACTTCTCTCCTTCTTTTAACCTCATTCTCCACAAGACTTCTAGATTCAACCACTAGATCAATGGCATGAAGCTCCTCCTCCGCTGCTTACAATGAATGAGTAACATTGCCAAAGACCTCCATATTCCATTTTTTTAAAACAGAACGTAGAACCTTTAGCTTATTCATAATGGAAAAACCTACCCAGCCAGTAATTATAGAATCATCCCAGGACTTCTTCACAACTTCTCCAAATTCAGATGTAGAGTCCAAGCGGTTATGAAGCGGAGTGGCCTTGGACCCCAATCCATGCCATCCTCAACTAGTAACAAGGGGTAATGATCTGAAACACTTCTCTCTAAACCCCATAACTTTAACTTCAACCTTTCTACATACTCCATCGACATGAGCACTTTGTCAATTCTACTCCATCTTTCTCCGTCATTAGAGTCCACCATGTGAACTGCCTTCCCAACATGGGTAAATCAAGAAGCTCCATATTTTCTATAAATAAATTAAAGTCTTTCATTCCTCTATCTCTTCTAGAGCATCCTCTTCTTTCCCCAAGATTTTCGTATCTCATTGAAGTCACCAGCTAGACACCAGGGATTACAGAAGCTAGATCTCAACCCATATAACACATTTTAGAATCTACTTTTCGCATTAACTTCATTTGGAGCATGAACATTGATAAGGACAGAGTTAAAATTTGGCAGGAGAGTATCTGAGAGTACAATGAAAGGCCTTGTGCTTCGACACTGGGACAACTTGAAAACAATTGGTTTCCAAATGCACAGAAGCCCACCTGCCCTCCCTTCAGAGTCAACTACCATGAATTCCATTTCATTCACAGGCCAAAGTGATTTTAAAAAATCTGGTGTAACCTCAATTTTCTTTGTCTCTTGGAAAAAAACAAAATCAATTTTCCTATCTTTGAGCAGTAATTTGAACCTCCTTCTCTTTTCAGCTTCACCCAAACCCCTTACATTCCATGATAAAAGTTCCATAGAGACACATTATATAACACCTGTATCCACCTAATACATTCAATCAATTTTGCACTTCAGCTCCCAACTGTGCATCTATAGCCCTTGAAGTTGTCTGAATTTTATCCTTGATCTCCATAGCTTTTAATTTTTCCTTCACCTCCCCTTCCTTCCCACCAAAGCATATGCCTAAGGCTTTGCCCATACATATTGTTGCTTCTACCTCCTCCTGTGGTGTCAACTCTCTACGAAAATTTCTTCCAATCAACTCCAATTTTGATCTTGCCCTGGAATTTTCTTTACTCGTGACTTTCCCATGTGCATCCGATCTTGCTTTTAACCCAGCTTTAACTCTTAAGACAGCACCTCTGCTCTAGTTTCCCATACCCACTATACCTCATTTTCTTTCATTTCTCCCTCCCCTTGCTTTCCCTTGCTTGTCTGCCGAGATTCTACTATCATTCCTCCTTACTAACTTTTTCCTCTGTTTTAACTCTCCCTTTTTCCCATCCGTGTTGCCACTAACAAATGAAGCCTCAACATAAAGTGATGATGACCCAACATCCTGGGCCTGTGACACCTCATTATCTGAGTTACAATTGCTACCCATAAACCCAAATCCTGGCCCATCACATTGGGTTTTAACCAAATCCACTTCCAATGGTATCCTTGGGTTATTAAGCCCATTCTCACTAATGCTTCTCATGAACCCATTACCCTTACCTTCCAGCAGCCCACTCATTTCATTAAATAGTTGTATGGCATTCAAATTCTCTGAGTTAATTCTCTCCACGCCTGCTTTAATTACCCTTTGGTTTCCCAAACTCACCTCCACTGACTCTTCCACTCTCGAGGTGGAGCCGCCATTGGATATCTTCCCCTCTACCACTGATACAGTGTTTGCCAAATTAACTCTCTGTGATCATGCCATCTCAGCACACATATTCACCATAATTCCAATTGGGCCTTCCACCTTAGCCTCGTTCACCTCTGCAATCTTTCCAATCTCCTGCTCCTCTTCTTCGATTTTACTGCATAGATCATCTCTCTTCTGACTTGACATACACTTACCTGATTTATTAGTAAATTTATTAACCATAACTTGTTCTTTGCACACTCTAACTGGATATAGCATACCTTCGCATCTAATTTGTATTACGGTATTAATTAAGGACATTGTTCTTGTTGCAACCTTGACCCTCTCACAGTTGAAGGATATCTGGTTTGATGTGTCCTCATCTATTCAAATAACTTCACCCCAAATTCGAACTATTTTATTAAACATATTAGTGTTCCAGAGATTCAAAGGAACCCCATGGCAGCTTAACCATACTGCCCTCTCCTGTTCTATATGCATACCCTTCTGCCACTCTGTGATTGATTCACGCCATTCTTTTAGACAATCCTCCAATAGGACCATCTGTGACTTCTTAGCCTCTACTGTCTTGAATGACACCACAGCTATTTTCCCTCCCCCTTTTCTTAGGCATCCTTACAAAAATCTGAGAAGTCATAATACCATTTCAGTTTAACAATGACATTCTCATACAACCATCCATTACCTGATTCATCACCCATAATGACATGCCCTTCATTTTTAGATTCGTTGCCTTTTAACACAGCTTTTGCATAGGAACGACGTCCTATCATAACCTTAAAATCTCTTTCATCATTTCTTCCCAAATGGACTTGTGGTCGTCCTTTTCCATCAAGCACATTCTTAATGGGCCCACCTACCTTCTCATTTGTTCTTATCTTCTCAAACTCTGCTAACTTCACTTGCAATTCTTTATCATCACACCATAATCCATTAGCTTTTTGAATTGCAACTTCAACAGCCGCTGGGCAATGATATCTAACGAATCCAAACGTTATTTTACTAGCCTTTCTAAGTTTGTTTGGGATGGAAACATCTTTCACAATTTCGAATTTTGTGAATAGCGCGAACAAACCTTTTGGGTTCATTGACCATGGAAGGTTGTCAACAATCATCGTAAAAACTCCTTGATTACCTTTCCTAGAATCCTCCCTTTGATCATATCGTCTTTCCATACCAGATTGGTTGCCATTCGCCCACTGCTACTCTGCTTCCTCCACCCATTGCTGCTCTGCTTGCCATGAGAAAACTCTCCAAGCTTGTGATTTTTATATACATAAAAAGACAAAAAAGACTAGAAACAGAAAAAAGAAATGCTCTACTTCATTTTTGTTTTCATGAAGATTCTCATGCAGATAATGACACTCGCTAAGTGTTTTTTAATCTAATACGATACAAGATAATTGCTAATTAAAGTACTTTAAGGTGTCCTATAAATTTTAGAACTGCAAATCTTAAGCAGATAAAGAATCATAAGATAAAAATTATATTACCTCTTGCTAGATTGTGTATATCCTCTTACCTACCTGTTGACAATGTCAGTTCCATCTTGTGACAGTGAACTAAGTGCTGTAATCTATAACCTACCGAACTCACAACTGCAACAACCACAGCCACAGCCACAGCCACAGCCCAACAATGTGTGGCTAAGTTCGATAATGATTGAAGAAATTGAGTCTAGTGAGTCCTCAAACACCACAATGCCAAAGCATAAAATACACAAAGTCCCTCAAACGCTTCTGCAGATAGGGATCAAGTCCACCAAGAAATGCTATGAGCCACAACTAGTTTCTATTGGTCCCTACCACCACGAGAACCCAAACCTCAAATCGTTCGAAGAAATCAAATTTCAATTCACAAGGGAGTATGTCAAAAGTTGTGGACCATCATATTCAATTACCGACTTGTATAACAAGGTTGCAGACGTCGCTATTGAGGCAAGAAACTGCCATGCTAAGGGCACTAATATTGATGACACGAACTTCACTCGGATGATGTTCCTCGATGGTTGCTTCAACCTCCAACATATTTACTACAAGAAAAACGAAAAAGAGGAAGCCAAAATGAAGATAAAGAATCACAACAAAGCTTTCGTACAACGTGACTTGTTCTTGCTCGAGAATCAACTTTCTTTCAAAGTCCTCTAGGCACTGATGACCATGAACTCGAACTTCAAAGAGGATAAAGGCTTGGAGTTGATTAACAAGTTCATTCAAAACATGTGGCCACGTCGTCCTCCTCATAATTCATTTCAGGAAGTGATGGAAAATTGCATTACATGCATTACCAACCCAAAAACAAGGCACACAGAAGTACCAACAAAATTAGGCAAACCAGCTCATCTTCTAGAACTCGTGCACAGGCAACTTATTAAACCAAATGCTTTCAATCTTACTGGCATTGAAAATGAAGGAGAAGGAGGAGGCAACAATTGTTACTCAACAATATTGAAGAAACTCATCAACCTTCTCAATAAATTCTGTCCTGAAGAAAAAAGAAACAATTGGTACTCGTATCGTTCAGTACAAGAGCTCAAGACCGCTGGGATCATCTTCAGGCCTAACCAAGAAAACATAGTTTTTACTGATGTAAGGTATGGACCTCTCTTCATTAGAGCAATCCTAAGGCTTCCTCCAATGATAATTGATGACTCAACCCAGTCTTTACTACTGAACTTGGTAGCCTATGAGATGTGTCCTAATAGTCACAATGACTTCGGAGTCACCTCATATATATGGTTTATGGAGACACTGATTGATCATGTTGATGATGTGAAGGAACTGAGAAAGAAGGGAATACTTCTAAACTACCTTAGTACCGACGAAGAGGTGGCTGGGCTTTTCAATAAGATAGCCAAGAACATGGTGCCTGACACTAATGCCTATAAAGATGTCCAGAACCAAATTGAAAAGCACTATAAGAACAAGGTGAGACTGTGGATGATTGAATGGTTGCATACCCATTTTGACACCCCTTGGACTATTCTCGCTTTCCTTGGAGCTATTTTAGCAATTGTATTGAGCTTTATTCAGACATATATTGCTATCAATCCTAGCACAAATAGCACAAATTCAGGAAAATGAGTGACTATTCCAACCTCACAAGATCGTTTTCGCCAAGGATTTTTGAATAAAGAAGATGCTACAGGTCTGTTAGGTAGCATCTGTGAATGTTCAATTTCGCAATTTTAGACCCGGATTGTGTCCCACTGGACAACTTGATACTTGTTTCTTGGTGATGTTTTGTGAATGTTTTGGTTTGCTTCTAGGTTTGCTTCTATTGGTTGTGTTGTGATTTTGTCTTTGGCGAGCATGAAAGAAAATAAGAGTTGAGCCAAAAAAAAAAAAAAAAGACAGAAAGAAAGAGACATTTGATTTTTTTCTTTGGTGAGGATGAATGTAAGTTAATAAGATAAAATGTCACATTCAAAAAAAAAAAAGACAGAAAGAAATTATTAAAAACTCATAATTCAAAATACAATTTCACACTCAAATTATAATTTTAAAACTAACACAAACGAATTTTTAATAATTTAAATTGCATATCTGCATGATAGTAACGAAATGTTGAATATCATAGTCCAATTAGTCATGGGAGGCATTCAATGCCCCCACATGAAATTTGTACAAAGGGTAAATTATACTAAGAGGCAATTTGGGAACTTGCTAAAAAAAATTAATTTTTTAGTTTTTTAGCTTTTTTACACAAAAAAAAGTCAAAAAAAAAAAGAAGTTATTTTACACAAAGAAGCCATCAAAAAGCCAAAAAAACCAAAGAATTAATTTTTTACCAACTTCTCAAAATACCATTAAAGTCCTCGTTTGATAAACATTTAGGGGCTAAAAAACATAAAAAGATAAAATAGGTTATATAAGTTAATAAGATAAAATGTCTCATTCAAACCATAATGATTACACTTTTTTTCTCACAAAAGCAAAAAAAACCCAAAAATAAAAACCAAACCAGACTAAAAAAGTCAGGTTAAAAAAGTCCCAACACAAAAAAGTTGACTACCGTAACCAATGTCAAACACAGTTTAACTTCCATTAAGATTATTGACAATTATAAGAATCTTTCTCGCCATGATGAAATAATATTGACGAACTTTGCGGTAATCAAGTCCTTGTTTGAAAAACATTTGGGTGAATTACATTAATAGTCCTTATAGTTTGAAACATGTGTCACTTTGATCCCTAACTTTTCAATTGAGACATATTTAACCCTGAATTTTGAATCTTGTTCTAAATAAAGACAATTGAATATATCATTAGATTTTTCAAGGGTAAAATCATCAATTTGATAAAATATAAACTAATTTGACAAAAATAAATGTCAAACAAATATTTTTGAATTTTTAAAAATTATTTCAACTGACTAAAAATAAAATTATGTAAAATTGATAAATCTTTTAGACAATTATTTATTTTTTTTACCAAATTAATTTTTATTATGTGTTTAGATGATGATCATGTAAAATTAATTTTTAAAAATTAATCGTGTAATTTTTATTAATTTTTATCAATTTTACATAATTTTATCATTGGTAGATAAAAACAATTTTAAAAAAATTAAAAATATTTTTTTGACATTTATTTTTGTCAAATTAGTTTATATTTTATTAAATTGACAATTTTGCCCTTGAAATTAAACAATGGTATATTCAATTGTCTTTTTTTGAAACAAAATTCAAAATTCATGGTCAAATATATCACAATTGAAAAGTTGGGAACCAAAGTGACGCGAGTCCCAAACTATAGGGACTGTTAGTGTAATTTGCTCGAAACGTTTTGAGGCTAAAAAAGTACAAAAAAAGATAAAATAGGCTATATAAGTTAATAAGACAAAATGTCATATTCAAACCATAATTATTACACTTTTTTCTCACAAAAGTCAAAAAAAATCCAAAAATAAAAACCAAACGAGACCAAAAAAATTAGGCTAAAAAGCCCCAACAGAAAAAAGTTGGCTACCGTAACCAATACCAAACAAAGCTTAACTTCCATTAAGATTATTGACAATTATAAGAATCTTCCTCGTGGTAATGAAATAATATTGACCAACTTCGCGGTAATCAAGTCCTCGTTTGATAAATATTTTGAGGCTAAAAAAGTACAAAAAGATAAAATAGGCTATATAAGTTAATAAGACAAAATGTCACATTCAAATCATAATCATTACATTTTCTCTCTCACAAAAGTCAAGAAAGTCCAAAAATAAAAACCAAACGAGATTGAAAAAGTCAGGTTAAAAAAGTCTCAACACAAAAAAGTTGACTACCGTAACCAATTTCAAACAAAGCCTAACTTCCATTAAGATTATTGACAATTATAAGAGTCTTCCTCGCGATAATGAAATAATATTGACCAATTTCGTGGTAATCAAGTCCTCGTTTGATAAATATTTTGGGACTAAAAAAGCACAAAAAGATAAAATAAGTTATATAAGTCAATAAAACAAAATGTCACATTCAAATCATAATCATTACATTTTTTCTCTCACAAAAGTCAAAAAACCCAAAATCAAAAACCAAATGAGACTAAAGCAATCACGTTAAAAAGTCCTAACACAAAAAAGTTGACTACCGTAATCAATGTCAAACAAAGCTTAACTTCCATTAAAATTTTTGACAATTATAAGAATCTTCCTCACGGTAATGAAATAATATTGATCAACTTCACTTTTTCATTTAAATTTTTTTTTTTCATTATTTGATTATTAACTATCGATGGTAATGAAAATGTTGAATTCAGCATGCCAATTTATTCCCCTGATCAAAGAAAAAAAAAAAAACTAATTTATTGCATTTCCCAATTTGCCCTTATTTATGTGTGGATATAAAAAGTCCTAACACAAAAAAGTTGACTACCGTAATCAATGTCAAACAAAGCTTAACTTCCATTAAAATTTTTGACAATTATAAGAATCTTCCTCACGGTAATGAAATACTAATATTGATCAACTTCACTTTTTCATTTAAAATATTTTTTTTTTCATTATTTGATTATTAACTATCGATGGTAATGAAAATGTGGAATTCAGCATGCCAATTTATTCCCCTGATCAAAGAAAAAAAAAAAAACTAATTTATTGCATTTCCCAATTTGCCCTTATTTATGTGTGGATATCAATGCCCTTAATATCTTAAAAAAAAAAAGAAAAAAACAAACAAACAAACAGAAACACACTCTTATTTTATAGTTAAATAATCGATATCACTTCTCTTTTTGTTCATGTTATGATCAAATAGATACTAGTTTTTTATGTATTAATAGTATTACATGGACCGGTCTTCAAAAATAAATAAATAGTATTAGATGTTAATTTATTTCTTATTCTTCAAATGGATGAATGATCTTCTAACATGTTTTGCGATTTTTCAAAAATATCACATTAACAATTCTAATTGATATTCTAATGTGATATTTTGGAACTACCTAATCATTGTTCCACTTGCATCTGGTTTCGTTAAGAAAAAAATCCTAAATTTAGCGTAATACATTCTTTAAAAAAATTTAAGAGTTGACCAAGTGGTAAAAATTGAGAATAAGATTTAAAATTTTGAGTTCGAATGACTTTAAAGGGCCACCAGTCTACTCGGTTATTAGCTTCAAGGTTTCGGAATTAGTAAGGCGCACGCAAATTGAAATAAGTATAAAAAAACAAAAAGAACATACTTGAAAAAAAAGAAAATAATAATTCCACTTGCATCTGGTTTCGTTAAGAAAAAAATCCTAAATTTAGCGTAATACATTCTTTAAAAAAATTTAAGAGTTGACCAGGTGGTAAAAATTGAGAATAAGATTTAAAATTTTGAGTTCGAATGACTTTAAAGGGCCACCAGTCTACTCGGTTATTAGCTTCAAGGTTTCGAAATTTGTAAGGCGCACGCAAATTGAAATAAGTATAAAAAAACAAAAAGAACATACTTGAAAAAAAAAAAAATAAATAATTCTTAAATACGAAAGCAAAGATCAGACCATGGCAGAAAAAACTTGTTCTTAGACTGCACTTTTGGGGGAGAATAAAGCACAACCTATGCTTGCTTTGGCAAAAATGTTGGAAGTCTTGAAACAGAATTCATCTTTATATCCCATGCATGTTTGGGGCTTGAAGGTTAATTTAAAAATTAATTTACAAAAATAAACAG